TGGGTATGGCAGGTGGTTTTGGAGTGGGAAGCTATGGCCATGGTGGTGGCTTAGCGCTTCTCTGGAGCCGAGAGGTAGTAGTGCAGCTTGAAAGCTATGACAAGCTGCATATTGATGTTACAGTTCGATCTAGCAGCGCACAGACGGGGGAATGGCGCTTTACTGGTTTTTATGGCGAATCTAGAAGGGAGGTCCGCCATAGAAGCTAGGACTTGCTCAAGCTACTCAGTACAAGGAGCAATCTTTCCTGGCTATGTGCGGGGGATTTCAATGAAGCACTAGATGCTGAAGAGCAGTTTGGTGGGCAGGGAAGGACGGAACGGCAAATGGAGGGGTTCCGAGAAGCAGTGGATGTCTGTGGTTTTGTTGATCTCGGTTTCATTGGTCTCCCATATACATGGATAACCGACTACAGGGTGATGCAAACATCGAAGTTAGGTTGGATAGAGGCCTTGCCAATGGAGATTTTCTGGATCGCTTTCAATCAGTCAAAGTGTGGCACGTCCAAATGACTTAATCGGACCACTGTGCACGTACTGGTTCTGGAATGTTTGAGGCGAGGTCTTGGAAGGCGACGGAGGAAGAGAGATTTTCGCTACGACAATATGTGGAGACGTGATCCATATATCCTACAAGGAATTGGTGGAGGCGACCTGGAACAACATGAGCGATCCGTGCAATCTGGATTCTCTAGCTGTGAACCTCGACAACGTCTCCTGCTCGTTGTCGGACTGGGAACCGTACTTTTGGTTCTGTAAGAAAGGAAATGAGTAAGCTGCACCAAGAATTAGAAAGAGAGAGGAGTTTGTCCATTCGTTCGGGTCCAACGAGAAGAGAAACTCAATTGATGTCCAGGACGTCCGGGCTCCTTTCAAGAGAAGAAATCATGTTCAAGCAGTGATCCCGTATTGACTGGTTAAAAGAGGGTGACCGAAACACAGCTTTCTTCCATGCCAAATCACGGGAGAGGGCGCAAACCAACCGTATCTCAGCCTTGAGAAGGGAAGATGGCTCCATTGCAACAAGTTAGGAGGAGTTGGAAATGGAAGCCATGGATTTATACTCGAGACTGTTCACAAGGCAAGAAGTGCTAGACCCGGGACCCGTGCTTGAATATGTCCCGGAGAAGGTTACCTCTCTGATGAACCACAGCTTGATGAAGCCGTTTCAGGCAGAGGAGGTACGTGAGGCCTTGTTCATGATGGGGCCTAATAAGGCCCCTGGGCCGGATGGCTTAACAGTAGGATTCTATCAACATCACTGTGAGGTGTTGAGGCCAGCGGTCACAGCTGCGGTGCTGGATTTTCTGAGAGGTGGTGCTATGCCGGAGAAGGTGAATACTACCACTATCGTGCTTATCCCCAAAGTGAAACAGACGCAGGAGATGAAGCAGTTTCGACCAATTTCTTTATGTAATGTGGTATATAAGATTTGCTCGAAAATGCTGGCAAATCGGATGCGTCCTCTTCTTGATGAGATTGTGTCTGAGGAACAAAGCGCTTTTGTGCCGGGTAGACTAATCACGGATAACGTATTAGTTGCCTATGAATGCACACACTATCTACAGCGAAAGAAGGGGAAAGCTGGGGCGTGTGCAATTAAACTTGACATGGCAAAGGCGTATGATCGCGTGGAATGGGACTACCTCAGAGAAATCATGCTGAAACTGGGGTTCCATGCCGATTTCATCTCGATTGTGATGAGGTGCGTGACCTCAGTATCCTTTTCAATCAAAGTTAATGGAGAACTCTCAGATGTTTTTAGGCCAACTCGGGGCATTTGGCAAGGGGATCCGATGTCACCGTATCTCTTTCTACTATGCGCGGAGGGGCTCTCATGTCTATTGAAACCAGTCGGTCCAATGCATTTATCCAGAGGTGTCCGCGTGGGTATCCACGCTCCATGGATATCGCATCTTCTTTTTTGCGGATGATTGTATTGTCTTTTCAGAAGTGTCGCAAAGAGGGGCCGCCAGAATTCAGGAGATTCTTGACATCTACAGCAGGGGGTCTGGCCAGTTGGTTAACAGAGATAAGTCGGCAGTTTTCTTCAGTAAGAATTGCCTGGATGATACAAATCAACTGGTCCGACATGAGCTGCATATTGAAACGGAGGCGCTGTCTGATAAGTATTTGGGTCTCCCAACAGCAATGGTGCAGTCGACCACTAATACCTTTGAGTTCCTACCTGCAAGAATCAAAGGGCTTATTGGTTCTTGGAGCGGTCGTGAAGTGAGCAGTGCAGGTAGGGAGGCGCTACTGAAATCTGTTGCACAGGCAGTGCCCACCTACTCGATGAGCTACTCTCTCCTCTCAAAGACAACATGCAAGAAAATGAGAGCAGCAATGACTTACTACTGGAGGGGGGAGGGGTCGGCTGAAAACCGGCATATCCACTGGCTCCGTTGGGATCGTCTCATGCAGCACAAATCGAAAGGCGGAATGGGCTTTCGGGATTTGCATCTGTTCAACAAAGCAATGCTAGGGAAATAAGGTTGGCGGCTTATTACCCGTGAAGACAGCCTTTGTGCCCGTGTGTTGAAAGGCCGCTATTTCCATGAGTCGGATTTCCTAGCTAGCACACGGAGAAGGCACGCCAGCCATACCTGGCGAGCGATCCTGGCCAGTAAAGAAGTGCTTCTAAGGGGCATGGTCAAAAGGATTGGCAATGGTACATCTACGGATATTTAGCATGATATATGGATTCCAATGCATTTCGATGCGCGACCACTCACACCTGAGGATGGTCAGGATGTCACCAGGGTGTGTTAGACCTGCTAACCGAGTCAGGACAGTGGAACAAAGAGCTAATTAGGGAGATATTTATCCCGGTTGATGCTGACAGCCTGACACCATTCTCCGAATACCACTGAGAATGCAGGAGGAGGATTGGTGGGCATGGGAATTAGAGAAGCATGGAGAGTACTCAGTAAGATCAGCATATTGGAAATTGGCGGCAATGCATCCTCCACAGGATGCAGCCACCCCAGGCGGCTCAGGTGATGCTTCTTGGGGGAAGATTTGCCGTCTTGATGTTCCACCTAAGGTCAAAGTAATTTGGTGGAGAGCACTCGAATTTTTGCCGGCAAAAGCAGTGCTACATCATCGACACATTGAACCACAGCTTTTTGCGAGGTGTGTGGAGCAGAGAAGGGCAAAAAAAAAAAAAAAAGAGGCAGACCCAATGCCGGAAGCTCCCACGTGTCTTCCTTGAGTGCACCACGGCGATGTTGTTCTGGCACGAGATCAAGCTGCTAACTGGTCTGAAAATCCCTAGGCTGCATCCGCATTCCTGGGCTTCAGACGTTCTACTGAATGAGGTGTCTTCAGAGAGGGACGCAGCCTTTTCATCTTCGGGATGTACTCTCTATGGATGCAAAGAAACAATCGTTGCCATGGGGAGAACCAAATACCGGTGCATCATGCAGTACAATGGGCGGTTGATCTAGCACATGATCTGTGGCAGATTACCCAGTCTAAGAAGCAGCTGCGCCCGGTTAGCATACACTCGACTTGGCAACCACCTCCAGGGGGATGGTCTAAGTGCAATACCGATGGGGCCTTTTACATGGGGACAAATCAGGGAGCAACGGGGGTTGTGTTACGGACCTCTTCAGGCTCATTTGTTGCAGGAAGGGCAAGCTGGTACTCCCATGGACTAGATGCCCTGATGCTAGAAACTTTGGCATGCCGAGATGGTGTGAAATTAGCAAGAGAGGAAGGGATGTTGAAGCTGCAGTTGGAAGCGGACAACCAGGAGCTTGTTAGACTATGGGCTTCAGGGCAATTATAGAGATTGTACCTGGCGCCAATTCTGCGAGAGATCCGTGATATTATTAGTGCAGGCTTTCATGATTTTTCATTGATGTGCTAATAGAGTTTGTAATCAAGTAACCCATGTATTAGCAAAGCAAGTCACGGATGTGGTCAGGATGGGTGTGTGGCAAGAAGCCCCAACCTGTATCCAACATCTACTGACTGAAGGATCCTCCATGATGAATGAATGAACCTCCTAGTCGCCAAAAAAAAAAAAAAACTTCGTGACAACTAACGTCTGCCACCAAACCAGGCCAACTGTTTTTGTATCCATTTCCCTACGACAGGATTTTGTACAAGCAAGGGAACCAGTGGTAATATTATCTTTCCTATACGGCTATACCCTCACTGAAATTGAAGGAGACAAACTCAGGCATGAATCTCATGACCGAATTCAAGTGTTATACCCTCCTTTGTGTCAATATTAGCTTTACCATACTCAGGGCCTATTTGGTAGGGTTCCTCCCTAACTCCAGCTCCGGCTCCTCCGAAGGAGCCCAAACGTTACGTAGGAGGAGCCGTTTTTTGTGGAAAAAAAATTGAAGGAGCCACGAACTATGGCTCTTTTTCAAAACGGCTCTGACTTGTCCGGAGTAGCTCCTTGGGAGGAGACCTTCCAAACGCCCCCTTAATATGGAAGTTATCAAATGCTTTATATATGAACAAATTGCATTTCTAGAATTAGTATATTCTAACGTTAGCACAGTACTGTGTAGTGTTTGCTTGTTTGGTATAAATATAAACGTCAGGCATTCTGCATTCGGCCATTCGTACTTCAATCTAGCAATTGGTTTCTTGTGTGGAAGTTCTCATGACACTTTGCCAGATTAAGAGATGCTATCCGTACGTCGCTTTCAGGACATGGTCCATTGCTCCATATATTGTGCATTGCACTCGTTCTCTTGGTCGTAAACGATCGTAAATTTTCAGCCAAAACAGTGTTTTTCTCTCACACCAAACCAGTCAGCAGTAATAATCCACGGTCGTATACGATCGTTTCAGCCCCAGCCGAACAGCCTGACAGATTAAAATGTGAAGAATCCTTTATTGTTGCCGAAAACAATGCGATGAGACATGGTCCACCTAACATGTTTGCACATCCAGTTTTATTTTTCTAACGGCTCCGCAACAGATGAAAATATAACCACCTAAACTCTGAACTCTGAAACATTTCTGACATGAAGACTAATTTTCTCTTAGCAGATTCACTAACTTGAGCAAATACTGATGCGAGGACCCTCCATCCGCGACGCTGGCGCACGCTGCGCTCTTCAAGACCATCGTCCTCGCGTTGATCTCATCGTCCCCAAGCAGCCGCTCCACCTTGTCCCTGACCTCGTCCTTGGTGACAATGCCCCTCCCGTCGGCGCAGACCTTCAACGCAACGCCCCACAGGTCGCAGATGTAGCTTTGGTTCAAGAACTGGTCGGCGAAGTAGGGCCAGCAGAGGAGCGCGATGCCGTGCCGCACCGCTTCCATTGTCGAGTTCCACCCGCAGTGCGTCACGAAGCACGCCACTGAGGGGTGCGAGAGCACGCGCTGCTGGGGAGCCCAGCCGACGACTAGGCCCTTGTCTCCAATGCGGCGCCGGAACCCGTCCAGCCAGCCCTCGCCGACGCCGTCGGCGAAGTTCGGCCGGACCACCCACAGGAACGGCCGCCCGGTGAGTGCCAGGCCGTCGGCCAGCTCCTGGAGCCGTTCCGCGTCGAACACCATGAGGCTCCCGAACGCCACGTAGACGACGGAGCCGGGAGCCTGCGCGTCGAGCCAGCGCAGGCAGGTCTCGTCTTGGGCCCAGAAATGGAAGGACGCCGCCGATGCTGCGATGCTGACTTGGGCGACTCCAGCGGGCCGATGGCGACCGCCGGTATGGGGAGGTGGGCCAGCGCCACGGACTCGATCTCCTGGAAAGTGTTGCAGACGATAGTGTCGGCGAGCGCTAGCGTCGGGTTGGTCGTGATCGTGCACTGGATCATGGCTCTCCTTGACTCAGGGCTCTTGCCAAGGGTGATCCAGGGAAGCTTGGAGGCGTCGATGGCCGGCATCTTGGGGTTTGGCTGGACCCTCTCGTTCCTTTTCACATTCCCTGCAAACGTAGAACCATCATGTCCTGATCTTATATATAACAACGTGATTTCCTGAGGTTTATAGAGTTTTCGGTTTTGCTCTTATTACCCATTTCGTCGATGATGCCATCCTCTATCATCTTGGGAAGGTGCATCCCCAGCGCGAAGGTGGCGACGGAGAAAGTGGAGAACAAGGCGACACGCACGCCCACCTTGTGGACTAGCTCCAGCACGAAACTCATGGACAGGTCGGCCACCACCCACCTGATGTTCCTGGACCTGATCGTCTCCTCGAGGCCGCCGAGCATCGCCGCCAGCAAGCCGTCGAGCACCTTGCCGATGTCCGTGCGGTCGCCGTCGGGGCCCATGCCGTCCGGGAAGGAGATCAGATCGATCCCGCCGGCAGGGGATGTTCCTGCCAAGGCCGTGAGCATTCGGGCATGGTTGAAGTCGGTGTTCACGAAGACGACCTCGAAGCCGTGCTCGACGAGCCGGTAGGAGAGCTCCATGAAAGGCATGACATGGCCTTGCGCGGCGAACGGCAGCATCATTAGACGGGGCCGATGAGGAGACGCTGCCATGGAGGAGGGTGGCTGAAGACACTTGAACGTGCTGGTTAACAGCTGCTGGTCGGCTGCAGGGCGATAGTGAGCTCTGAGCTGCACTATCAGATTCAGAGGTCTTGTGTCGCTTGCAACGGCGCCACTCCTTGTGGATCACGAGGTGCATATATAGCCTGTGGCAAAGACTATGAAGTCTCATCGACGCAGACGTCATGCCTTGCATCAGCGAGAGTGGACTAGCATCATCTGCGACTCTGCGTCACGGAGTTGCCATATCTTTGCTCGGCGGCGCTAAAGAACATGTCATGTGAACTGTACCACAGATTTAATTTGGCAGTATTGATTATAGCATATGTAACGTCGAAGAGCTGCTTGTCTGGAATATAGAAATTTTACAATTTAATTCCACAGAAAAACACACGAACAAGAAATTTTGACCGTATTCCAAAAAGATCCTATATTCTACCAGCAACTAGGAGTAGTGGTTTCTAAGGAAAATTGATGGTACGAATGGGCAACTGTGTAGTGAGACGCTCCGTACCAGAGTTAAAACCTTGGTGTTGCACTTTTTCTGAATTTTTTAAGACCAAATTTAATCATCGGAAAATTTCATTTGGGATTGACTGGCCAGAACCACGCTCGAGTCAAGGTTTTGTCATGAAAATTACCGAGATTCTGGAATTTTGGTCGATTATATATTTTCAAGTTAAGGTTGTAGAACAATTTATAATGGATTTTCCCCACTACTGGAGGCCGCGGCTTTGCCGAGTGTTTTTACACTCGGCAAAGAGCCCTTTTGCACTCGGCAAAGGCTTTGCCGAGTGTAGCACTCGGCAAAGTCCGCTCGGCAAAATTTTTCTCGGTAAAGGGTCTTTGCCGAGTGCTTTTTATCGGGGCACTCGGCAAAATAAAAAACAATTTTGCCGAGTGCTTGGGGCGGCACTCGGCAAAATATTTTCGGCCGTTGCACGTCGGCCGTTAACGGTTATTTTGCCGAGGGCCTGACCCAGCACTCGGCAAAAAAAAATTATTTTTTTAAAAAAATTACTTTGCCGAGTGCCCAAGTCCAGGCACTCGGCAAAGGTTTTTTTAATTTTTTTTAAAAAATTACTTTGCCGAGTGCCCAAGTCCAGGCACTCGGCAAAGTTTTTTTATTTTTTTTAAATAATTTCTTTGCCGAGTGTCCCTGTTTAGGCACACGACAAAGAATTTCTGGATTTTTTTAAAAAAAATACTTTGCCGAGTGCCCCTGCCCAGCCACTCGGCAAAGTTTTTTTATTTTTTATTTTTAAAATACTTTGCCGAGTGCCCCAGCCCAGGCACTCGGCAAAGAATTTCTGAATTTTTTTTGGAAAAACTTTGCCGAGTGCCTTGCCTATTGCACTCGGCAAAGACCCCGAGAATTGCAATTTTTTTTTACATTCCATTGTAACAGACAATATATATATATATATACATTAATCATCACATCTATATCACCAACATGCATTATATATCACAAGCACACGCATATTTAATAAATCCATCGAAAATACATCACAAATGCAGCAAAGTTCAACATCACAAGTTTATTATTACAAGTTCAACATCACAAAGTTCAACATCTCTAGTGTGGCGACGGAAACTACAGGTGTGGCCCCCTGGACAGCAGTGAAGGACCGGACTGTGGCAAAGGGTTGACGTGATCAGCCGCCGGTGACACGCTAGCGGGATTGTTTGAACCCGCCGACGGAGGCTGCACAAAAGAGAAGAGATTGCATGTGTTAGACTCAAAATTGAAAATTTTGGCAGCACCTCCCCTGCACGGGGAGGTTTCCAACCTGCAAGAAACAACGACACGAAGGCTGACAATCACAACGGCATGAAGGCCGACAATCCCAATGGCACGAAGGCCGAAAATCACAACGGCACGAAGGCCGACAATCCCAACGGCACGAACGCATTAAACTTTCATACTCACAAGAGTGAAGTGTCGAACCGGAGCTGGAGCTGGCAACAACACTTGGACACCCGATGCTTGCCCGATGGTTTGCATGATCTGATACATGTCCGTCATCTGCTTCTTCGTGGCCTCCAGCTCTGCGGTCAGGTGCGCTTGCGTCTCCCTTGTCTCTGTCAGCTCAGCCTGCAGTGTTTCAATCACATGTTTCAGTATTGCAAATCTGATCAATGTGTGTAACGTTCAATGTACGACTAGTGAAACCAGAATTACCTGAAGTTTGTCGACCCGCGACAGTGTTGGAGTAGGCCGTGCACGTATGGGAAGGCTTCTGGCCGTGCTCCGTGCCCTCACGTCGGAGAGAGAGGGTGCAGAGCTCGAGGAGTCGATGCCGTCTGCAATCCACAACCGCCCATGCTTCCTGCCTTGCCCCAGCCTCACGATCACCTCTGTCTTAAGGGGCTCAGTGCTCAGATTATGATCTGAGCCACGGAGCGCCCTAACCGCCTCCGTGTAGTCTCTAACCTTAGCATGGACGCTCGGGTCAGAGTAAGCCTGGGCAGGGCATCCGGGTTGAAGATGACACCGGATTTCACCGGGCCCATGTGGGACACAGCCCATGCCCCAAACTCCGACACCGGCACGTCCGGGTGTGCCACCTCCTGCGAAAAAGACAGCAAGATGATTAGAAATCAGGCAAAATTGAGCGTTAGAATAGATAAATGACATCTCGTACAAGTGCCCGCTTGAATGCGGGGAGGTTGCGGCTGCCTTGGTGGTGAGTTGGAGCGGTCCTCAGTGCCCGCTTCCGCTTGCCTTGCTCGTGCTTTGCGATGTACGCCGGGTCAAGGTACCTGTCCACGATCCTCGACCATGCCGATCTATGCGACATGCACCACGAGGCCGGCACCTACACACCATCAAGTGTTTGACATATAAGAAGATCAATTCTGAACCTACTAAATCTTAAAATGAATTAATATTATTCACCTACCTAAAGGTACTGCTCCTTGGTCAGCGCCACATTTCTTGCGCCGGTTTTGTTGAGGGGCTCTTTCTTGATGGACCTGTAGTAGTCGACGTGGGCCTGGAGTCGCGCCTCGTGAATCATGTCACCGACGTACTTCTTATAGGCTCTGTGTGCCGTCTGGTCCACCAGGGTCTCTGTACCTTCTTCGGCCTTGAAGTACCTCTGCATACAAACACGATGTATCCGTTCATTATTTCAATAAAAGACTTAAGCAGTAGAGGAGATGTATTGAGCTATGTTGTGAGACACTTACCCAAAAGTCCGCCAAAACCCGCTCCTGCTTGTTGTCCTGCAAGTCATCCGAGCCAAGCTTGTACCTGTCCCACGACCAGGCCGGCTCCCACCTCCCCTCTTTCAAGTCCACAAGGCCGGGGAAGTGTTTCCTGCACAGACATCCTAGAACGGTAGCGGGGGTGCGTGGGGGGTCAAGAGCACCCGACAGAACTAGCCAGCCCCTGCATAAGTGATAACGAAAAATTATCAGTTTCTCTTTTGATTTTCAACGTATCATATGAAGTACTAGTGATAACATCTATAGTTACTTACCTTCTTCCCATTGGACAAACCAGTGGGCGTCGGTCAGGAATGGGAACCGGAGGAAGGCTTGTGGGACCTCGCAGGTAGGGAGCCGAGAAAGCAGAACTGTCCTCCGTCGGCTGAGTCCCCTTGTCCCCCGACGGAGTGTCTGTGGTCGTGCCCGTGGCCGCCACGTGGTCCTCTGGGGTAGGAGACGGGTCCTTCAGCTGGTCGAGAGCCGGGGGAGGAGGCGGGTCCCTCCTGGGGCGACCCCGTCCCCTCCCCCTCCCCCTCCCTCTCCCCGTGCTAGGGCAACCCGGGCCTGCTCTCGCCGCTGGGGGCAAAGACGTCCCCTCGCCTCCAACAGGAGGGCGTAGCCTCTGGTACACCGAGAGCACCTGCCTCGGTGAACGGTTGCCCACCATCTTTGTTCTGTCACCTGCAATGTACAAAGAATGAACAACAAGCGTTAGTACATACATGTCAAATAGTTCAAAATGAATAAACATAACAAAATTTAATAAAAAACATAGTATTACATGGTTTAGGAATAATCTTCATGATTGGGGTCATAGGTCTCATCATCACTGTCAAAATTGTCCAAATGGGCAACACTACTCGAAGGTTCTGTGTCTTCTTCATTGTCTTTGCCTAAATGGAATCGCTCAAGCATTTGAATGTCCTTCGGATTTAGCACTACATCTCTAGGGTCCTCGTCATCAACTGTTTCATTGTCTACTTCCATGGCGGTCGTCACACCGGGTAAGACTATCTCAAAGCCCCCTTGTAGCCCATCTGCTTGATAGAACTCTCCATCATATGTGTTTGTGTCGAAGGTGTAATCTTCATCGTTTGGAACAGGTAGTTTACCATGCGAAGATACCTGGTGCACAATAGACCAACCCTTAAGATGGTCTTTGTCTTGGCACGCGTATGGCATATGATACACCTGCACGGCCTGTTGAGCCACAATATAGACATCTTTTCCTTTATAGACGGAATCATGCCTAATCTCGACTAGCCCAAGATGAGGGGTCCATCTCGTTCGTGCAGGATCAAACCAGTGGCACTTGAATATGACAGGAGTAAGAGGTACCCGGCCCTCATATTCAAGTTCATAGATCTCCTTAATTATTCCGTAGTATTCGACGCCATTAGTGCCCGGCGTAAAAACTTGGTTGTTGGTGGTTTTCCGACCGGGCCGAGTCTGCTCGTGTCTTGACGTGTGGAAGCGATATTCGTTCATGTCATAACCAGTATATGACTTCACCCTTAACTTGAAGCCGTTTGCAACCTGTCTCAACTCGTCACTCATGGACGCATTGGTTTGCGCCTGCAAGCTCAAGCATGATACATCGTTATACTATTGGAACGTACAAGCTACTAAGGAATATCGACGAACGTACAACCTTTTGTTTGAACCAAGAAATGAAATCAGGCCTCCTAGCTCCCGCACCCTTTGAAAGAAGGGTATCATGTTCGTGCGGGGTAGGATCCCTTGATTGATGCCACTCTTGACGAACAAATTCCCTG